TCTCCACTCCGCACAACATGATCTACTCGACCATCATTATGGTTACCGCCAAAAAAAAAAACGGAGGGGGGAGGTCATTGCAGTTGATACTGCTGCTGCTGCTGCTGCTGCTGCTGCTGCTGCTGTTACTGACGTTGTCGCTCTTTCGCGTTGAGCCCATTAGTTGCCGCTCTCGCGCGCCTGCGATCAACCAACATTTCCCCGGTCTCGAGGGACTACTCTATGCGTTCTGCCGCAAGTCACACGGCTGGCACACAACAAGTGTGCGGTGTACACTCTTTTTTCAGCCGCTACTGGAGTACCCGTTGCCTACACAAGAGAACTAGAACATTCATCTCGCGCTGAGGATGATATAAGGAGGCCAGCACGTCCCCGTCTGCCTCGGAGGGAACTCGGGGCCGCTCTGTATCGGTTCCCATGGAGGCGTTTTCTTACAATTTCGTTACATCTTGTTGTCCTAGATCAGCCGGACGACACTTCAACATGTTCGATACCCTCAACGTGTGCTGCTTGACTTGCCGCTTTGTTTTCAGGTTGCGATTCTTAGTTTGCCATAAACAAAATCGCCTTTTGCTTCTTTTCTTGCCATTCTTTCTTTCTTTGATCTGTAGGCCGTACTCCGATGCAACCGCTGAGAAGATGGACCTGGAGGCGAGAAAGATGGTAGACAGCGCTTACCAGCGAACGTTAGAGCTCGTCGAAGCTAAAAAAGAGCAGGTGAGTCGTCTCGAACCATTGTAGACCGGCGAATGAGTAACATAACAGACCTTGACGTGCATGCTGCATCATCGTTTTCGCCTGATGCAGTGAAATGGGGTGGCTGTTCGAGTGCCAGCTCGTGGTGGTTGAATATGGCGATATATCGCGCGAAATCAATGAAGAAATTATAACTATGAATCGGTTCGGCGATCTTTTGCATTTGTGCCCCCCTTGCCCCCCCCCCCCTCCCCCCCCCTGTTTACAGGTCTTTAGCTTCCATTTCCCGAACCCCCAGGTGTCAGCGTTTCCTTCGTCTTCCAACAATCCAACAAATATTTGACGAACTATTAGAACGTGAAATATCACAAAGGTAAACACAAGACATTTTTTTCCCTGATCTTTTGGCTTGTGATTGGTATGGGCGTCACAAGGAGGCAAATACCCATGTACATTTTTTTTTCTTCCCGAATATGACCTCTCTTACGTCATCTATTCGTGCCACGCGCGCCCAGATCAAGCTCGTGGCCGAGCTCCTCCTCGAGAAGGAGACGATCAACCACGACGACCTGGTGTCCCTCATCGGCGCCCGGCCGTTCAAGGCCCACAAGAGCTACCTCGAGTTCATCTCCGCGAATGAAGACGCAAAGCAAAAGATGGCTGACAGCAAGGACGAGGCAGCAGCATCAGCATCGGCAACAGATACAGCAACGGAGGAGGCGAAGTCCGGGGACGGGGACTCCGCTACTGGGGAGGGGGAGGGGGGGGAGGGTAGCAGCGGCCCGGCGGCGGCGAGCAGCTCGAAGGAGCCGTGATTTTGATTGTTTGAGGCGGCGTGCAGCTAGAGGGAGAGCCGTGATTTTTGCCTAGAGATTATGTTGCTCGATGCAAGTCGGGTCGGCGTTTTGGTTTGGTTTTGGTTCGATTGACCGCTGCGGCGCTGTTTTTCTGCTGCATCAGAGCGCAGGTTTTGCGGAGAGATGGTGCGGGTTACAAGTATGACATCCAACATTCCATCGTCCAGCGTGGTTGGGCTTTTTGCAGGTTAGCGCGTGGTTTGGTTTCCCGTAGTTTTTTGTTGCCCGACCCTCCAAATGATGCATTGCTACTCCTTCCGGGCACGATATGGCTACCTGTCAGGCTTCCTTGGGATCCCAACGCCGTATACAAGGGAGGCGTTTTTGAGAAGGATTTGTATTGTTCGGATGAGTCGCCCAACTGCACACGGTTAGAGAAGGAAGAACAACGCACAGCAAGATGAACATTGCCCAGCTGTTGCTGCCCTATGGGAAAACCGGGAACATGACTCCCTCTTATGTTGTCGCCCCGCTCTTTTGTCTACTGACGAACCACACAAACAACAAGATGCATCGCGGAACCGGCATGTACTGCTCTGGCTATCGTGTGTCAGGTTTCAAACCGGTCCTCGAGATTGAGTTGACTCCGACGATCATCCGATCTAGCCGGGAGGGGGCCCACTTGAATCAAGGCCCGAACGCATCGCCACACCACTTGTAGTTTCGTTTGATGGCCCGGTGCTCCCGCAACGGCAGTAGCTTGCGCCAAGGAGGATCTTACCCCGCGTTCTTTTTGCCCGAACTCGTCCTTTCCTCCGGCGTTGAGCCACCCCGCCCGCGGGGATGACGCTACTGCTGTAGGTACGGTAGAGCGTTTCTGTGCGCTTGTGCTTGCAGCACTTGTTCTGTATAATTATAGCACTGCTGCGCACTGCGAGAATTAAGCATGCCCACACAACGGCCATTGCTCTGCTGCACTGAGGGGGGCCCGAGCATGAAAGTCTGTCCTTCATCGGAGACATGCGTGGCGCAGCTTTTCCACGCGCGTGCTACCAGTGTTCGGGATTTCTAGGACCCCCAAACGGAACTTTACGGGGTGGTGTTGGAAGAGGGAAGAGGTCGGTCGTGGTGGCGGCGGCTGATTCGCGTTGGTATTATAGCATCCGTGCTCCGTGTAGACGCTCTCATCACCATGTCCTGTGTCATTGTCCCTTGGCGGAGTTTACTTTTTATTGGTCGGTTTGGCCGTCGGTGGGCACTTCCGCGGTTGGCGAAGCAATGGAGTCCAAAGACAACCAACACCGCAACAACAGGAAAAAAACCTCGACGTGAGGATGCTGAGAGAAAAATTCCCCAAAAAATTGCCATGCAGGCCCAGGCAGAACTCGCGGATGGCTATCAAGCCTAGGCCCTCCGCAAAGAGGCCACGTCGCTCACGCGGGAAGTCAGCGGAAGAACACATGTTGCGCGATTGCGAAGGATCGGTTCTCCAGTCCGCTCCATGACCTGGTGCTGCTGGCTAGCGCGCTCGATAACCGTCCGGGCGAATCCCCGCCAACTTCACACGTCAAGACAAGTGTCTCCGCAACAACGACAACGGCAGTCTCCACAAAAAGAACGACGCCCTTGATGCATGCTTGTCGTGCTTGCTGCCGACGCGGCACATCCATTCCCCTCCCCCCCCTCATGGAAGTACGACTGATGCAACAAAACGGTATCCCAACACGGGACCTATACACAAGAGTTTGTTGCCTTCTGCTGCGTCCTCACTCGTCCCTCCACCACCGGCGGCTGTCGAAAGCCAAGCGACTCCGGTACGCTCATCATTCGCACAATAATACCACAGGCGGTGTTTTTGGGCGCCCTCCAAGCATCATCGGCACATGAGGAAAAGAGAGAAAACATCACAATTCAAATTTCCCTCAAACTCGCACAAACTCCAGGCGGCAAAACACACGCAGGGCAGTGTAATCTCAAAAGGCGCAGAGGAAGCACTGCGCCACGCAGACATCGTTCGACGACAGCCAGCAGCGGTGTACATCAACAGGACACGACACTCCTAGAAGAGCGAGAATGGATTCACATCTGATAACAAACTTCGTTGCTGTTGGCTTTCCGCGAACAAACGGGTGTCGCCTTCGGTTCTTCCGAGGCCAGTCTACAAAAAATATCAGCGTCTTCCTTTACACCCAGACACCGGGTACGACGGTCCACGCCAGGTTAGTTGCCGCCGGAGATGATCGCCGAGAGTATCTGTTCCCGTGAAATCCCGGTGCCTATCTCCACCTGTCAGCGCGGTGATACATGATGTAACATACATACAAGGTGGGGAATATTGTCATTTTCAACACGGAGTAATAATACACCGTAATCATCGGGGTCTTGGTACATATCGGGGTCTTGGCACAGGGTGTGCGGAAAAAAAGCGGGTTCCGAAATATTTGCTAGATTATCGCACAGGTATCGTCGTCTCCGACACCGCGCGGAGACGCCGATATGTGCGGTGAGGTTTGCTGGTAAGTGATACCCTTTCACCAGCATCTTGTGCTGGAAATTCCGGATACTGTGGGAGCTTGAATCGCGTGCTCCACTGCTACTGCTGCCCTTGGCACCATAACGATGTTCAAAAATGTGGTACATTGTACTCTTTGTTCTCTTCTTTTCGTTCTGAAGAATCAAGGTCGGCAAATCAGCAAACGGCATCCACTCAACAATTCTAAACGCAGACGAAACCAAAAACGAAGTAAAAAATCACAACAAACTACCACTACGAGCTACCAACGTCCTACTACTGTACTTCCTAGGCGGGTTGAACTCTACTTCGTGCCCGCGCCCCTACCATCGCAAAAACATCCAATCTCACTGGCTATCCCAAAGAACCATGATTCAAAGTTCGACTACTTCTCCTTCGGCGCCCCCCCCCCC